TTTAACCCCCCCCCCCCCCCTCTCAGCCCTTTAGCGCCGCCGTTGAACTGATGTGGTCTCGAGATCCTGGATCCTGCATATATGAGCCCAACACTATAGTTTAGCAACAAAATTTATAGTCCTATATACTTTAAGCAAAACCTTCATTTTTCATGCATGCTTTATGTGGATCTTGTGGCATGCTATATGAAGTCGCTAATAATTCGTAAATTAAAGAAAGTTCAAAAGAAGTTAATTTTTCTTCAACGCTTCTTTAACATAAACGTTTTGTTTGACTTTCTCAGTCAAAGCGGCTTATCTTTAGCTACACACGTAAAAACTCAGTAGTTGTAACAACCCTGCTGCAGACTTGTATGTGTTCGCACTGCTTGTTGACAAGTTAATGACTTGTTGACAACTTACTACAAGGTTGTTGAGCTGAACAGACGTGTTACAAGTTGTTCCAACAACTTGTTATCATCCTGGCAGATCCTGCAATTCAACAGTTTGAGTCAACAAGTTGTGAGGGGCAATGTTGTATAAAATTGTTACAACTTGTTGACAAGCAGCACAAGCTTGCTACAAGCCTGTTGCGAACACATCTTGTTGACAAGTTGTGAGATTTTGACGTGTGTAGTCAACAGACAAAACATTTAATTTATACGCATGCATCCTGGATGATAAGTACGATAGTCGATACAGTACTCATCTCATAAAAACCGACACATTAAATCATATAGGCGGCATGGACAATCCAGAAGACATTCAGTTTCTTCTAGATTGTCTATGATTCAACTCACCGCTCAATGCTTATATGTATATCATAATTCAAACACTCATTAATAATTCATATATAAGCTTATTGGCAAATCATGTCAACCATAATATGTCACGTGCAGTGGCTTTAAAAGTTGTGTTTGAAGCCGTGTTTGAAGCCGTTTAATAAACTCCTGCTCGTTTATTAAACAGTACTTAACATATGAATAAGACCGAATTGTCTGATTTTATCCGAATTTGCGGTTCGTAATCAAATTTTCCATTGTCCGAGAAACAATAAGTCAACTAGAACTGGTAGCGAGTGTATGAAATATTTTCACGACGACTTACCGCTTATCTTGGACTGGACGCGCGCAATATTTCAATTCTATTCAGAACCATCCCCAGAAATATGAAAAACTAGCTAGTTTCATATTTTATTCAGTGCAGACAACGAAAAATTCGTTGTCCAGAGCGGGATTCGTAACTAGTTTTTCATAGTATTACTGAGAATTCCGAAATAGAATTGAAACGCTGCGCGTCCTCCAAGTCGTTGCGAAAATATTTCGTTCTCTTACATTGCACTGAGTCTGAGGATCTCTCAGAGGCTTTTAGGGAAGAAGGGAACAAGCCCACCTCCCCCCTTCCCCCATCCCCTTAGTCGGCTTCAAGACTCGCTATACCTATCCATGCATGTTGCGTCGATAGCTCAAGAAATATTAAATACATTAAATACTCGAGACAGATAATTTATCATGCACTGACGACACATTAGCATGGACGTATACGAAGACTTTGTGGTTGGGTGAGGCGGCGGGGGGCGAGCGTCCAAATTACCTGATTTTTAACTTTATCGTTACCTTGAAATTTAGTGGGGGTCTTTCATGTGTACGTTCAAGTTACAGGTGTCTTCGCCCGAAAGAATACAGGGTGTCCCAAAAAAAACCCAAAGCCATTGAAATAACGTATTGTTAAAATTTGAATGCCCTAAGCTGAATGCAAAGATACTAAAGATGAACGCAAAGGTGCGTAAAATATTGACAAGGGTGCATATTATATTAAATATTGACTTATTAGTTATTAAGAAATGAAATATATTTGTAAAGCGCACAATTTTCTGTTCTTGGGAATTCGAATTTAAAGCAGCTTCTTAAACTGTTTCTTTATGCATAAAATTTACTCATGTCAAGCTTTGATGCACTTGTGGGTTCATCAGAGTGCTGAGGCATTCAAATTCTAACAATACGTTATTTCAATAGTTTTGGGTAATACTGTAGACCGTATTTAAAAGCAAATTTAAAAGCCCTTTAAAGCCCTGAATTAATTAAGGTTACAGAACACCTTTGAGTGTTAATTTTGCCTAAAAATTTTTTATTGGTTTCCATGAAAGCATTAGACTAGTTCTACTATCTGACCAACTTTGAACGGAAAATGTTGAAAACTCGCAGAGTTATTTAATAAAATACATTTCGCTGCAATAAGAAAAACATTGAAAATGTAATATTCAAATTCAATTTTCTCCCGAAAAATTTTACGGTAATTACTGATTTTCAAACGAGTTATGCTCGCGCGGGTTGTAACCAATTTTTCTCAAATTTTCACAGGACATAGCTAAAGACGTCAGTTTCAAAATCGTTTTCGGCTTTTTTTTAATGTTGGATATTTTAAAAATAAAGAGCAATTTACTAAAACAATTCAGAAATATATTGCAGTTGTCAAAGAAATCGCCATATCAGCGGAATGACGAAATAAACAAAAATTTCCGAACACAATTTTTTAGAACAACTATTTTACTGTATAAAAATGATATTTTCATAAATATAACTTAAAACCAGCAGGAACATAACTCAAAAGCGTAACGGTACCGCGATTTAAGATTTTCCTGAATAATTCTTACATTATTTTATTGTTTGTTAATTTTACAACTTTACCATATTTTGCATGCACTGGAGAACATTTGGTGAAAATTTGATGAAAATCGGACAGATATTGAGCGCGCATTTTCCGCAAAACGCCAAAAAAGGTGTCCTGTATAAACCTTAAGCCATACTGTTAAGTGTACATTAAGAAGATAGGGCCTACCAAGGGCTAGGATTCTATTCCTGTCATGCAGAGGACCTACAGTATATTTGTATTTTTTTTTGCAAACGCTCCTGGTTAGGTTTATATAAATTTGCGCTTGAATTCCATCGATACGAAAATCTATTTAGCAATGATTAACGAGAAATCGAGAGCGAGTAATCTAATTGTTTTAGTAGAATCAGAGATCAAACATAATTCCACAAAATAATTCAATAATTCGATAAAAAACGCGAGCCGGAAGCCAGTTTTAAAAGAAAAATACGCTAGGAAAATGATTGTTTTGCTACTCGCTATCTATCGAAGAATAGATAGCGAGTAGAGTAGCCAATCAAATTACAGCGCAATAGTATACTAATATGATTCTACTAACTACTATTACTTCTATGGAACGAAAAATCTTGATATTCATGGTCAGTAGGTATAATAGTTAAACTTCATCTTACCCGTAATGATATTAGGCAGTTCACTTTCCAACCATCCTAACTTTGACTGCTGTCTCGTTTCCATCCTGGGTAAGCTATGCCTCATTTCATCTTTTTGCCGCTGTTTTGCCGCTTCCTTTCTTGGCTTTTTACAACACATTGACGAAGTTTCTTTAGTGTTATCTTTAGTTACAATTGCAGGAAATGTAGTGCTTTCGATTTGTTTCGTGCGACGTGTACCCTTTGTAGTGTTTTGTTCTTCTTCGCTCGATGGTTCTGATGGTCGCGGGGAAACGTTCTTCCGCTTGGAATTTAAAATGGGTGAACGTAACCAAGGCTTAATATTTGGTGTAGCAAGATGTGTCTTGGATTGAAACGTCATCGATTTTCCAACACATCGCATACGCAAATCAGGATCGTCGTTTTCGTAGTCGGCAAATGTATTCGGTGTCGCAGGTGTAGCTATTCTTTCCATAGGTATAGTTATAAAGTAAAGAACTAACTGAAAATGAAATAAAATTATGATTTTCACTAAAGTAATGATTCGAATCCTTGCAGTAGCTACACCGAGTGACGAGTGTCCCCCCAAAATGTGTCCCGGCTGATTTCTACACAGCTAATAACCTAATTGTTAGCTTGATTGTTAGTATAGACATCGAAAATTCAATCTAAAGAGATGAATTTCAACACTAATTTTACTAATATTATTCAAATTGTCTCGTAGAACCAAGCAACAATCAGAGCATTTTTACTAGTCTAGGACCTGTATATGAGTTTGTATGCGTTTCATTTACCACAGGTAATCTCATCTGCTTTAGGGTAAAATGACCATGGCGGTCAACATGGCATATGTGCCAAAACCTGAATCCTGGACGAAAGTCCTGAAAATGACCCCGCCCTGAAACGGCAGTGCCGACATAGCTCTAACTTCCGAAAAGCAAAAGTGACAGCCTTTCTGAAGTGCTTATAGTGTTTAGAAGGGTTGCTTTTAGGGGTGGTTATTGGAAGACAAATTTGTGTAAGTATAATATTTTACAAGAAAATGACCATTTATCACCTCAGGTAAATTGCTGATTATGCAGAAAATAACTAATATACATGGCAGAAATTAAATATCCTTATTTCCTAAAAAAAATTACCATGGGATGAAAAACTATGCTTAATTTAATATAATTATTGTAGTTTTCATAAGGACAGTCACTGTTTTCTATAAATATAATATATTTTATTTCACTTACCCCCCACGAAAACACGATTTCAGCCATATTATGCCGTCTTGTTTGCTTTATATCGCCGTGTCTCGCAAATAACATCCAGTTGTTGTACTTTTACATAATGGCAAATGGCTAAAGGAGATTTCAACCAAGTTTCGGCACGTTTTGGAGCAGTGCAGTGTATTTTATCTTCGATATTGTGTCCTTCGATATTTCGTCCATATGCCGCCATTTTAATGGCTCGCCGATTCTCTGCCCGATAAATGCAACTTCTTCGTCTTCATATGTATTTAGATTACAGTATCCAAGAGTACTTCATTGTAGAATAGTCCTAAAAGAAAAATTGAAAAAATTACTTGCACTTTGAAGGAAAAAACCTCCCACAACAAATTCAGGATAGGAATAATTGAATAAATACAAATCATTTGAAAGTCACGCGCAATCTTCGCGAAAATTCCTTGACAGGGGGGTGCGAATATTTTCACGAAACGTTGTTCCCACAGCAACCTAACTGGATGTCTGGATATATTATATATTTATTGCATTTTTATGATTGATAATAAAAATACGTAAATATTTAATGGTTTTAATTTTTATTTTTAAATCATAAAATACAATAAATACAATATA